GGTTGGGGTGGCGGATGGGTGGGGAGTCTGCGGTCCTTGTCCGGGGTAGGAGAGCTGCATCGATCTGGACTACCTGCGGGAGGGGGGGCTTCTACAGTGCACCCAGTTCTTCCCGGCTACATCTCTCAGTCTGACCTTTCCCCACTAGTCCCCATTTAACAGATTGGAAAATTGAGGCTGAGAGGCCAAGTGATTCTCAAGGTCACACAGCATGGAAGCAGAAGAGCCAGGGGGGGACAGCTCTGGTGACTGCAAGGAAAAGTCAGCTCAATAACTCGGTAGAGGAGCCCCCTACCCCAGAATGGGGGAGTACGTGAAGGGGCGGGGTACCTTTCTTTGGGGCAAGGCTCTGCCAGGGTCAGGGGAGTCAGGGCGCTGGGGCTGCGGGGCTGGCCCTGGACGCAGATGAAGGGGGAGGGGCGGCAGAATGGGCGTGTGCGCGCCCACGGGGGTGTGTGCCTGTGTGTGGGAGAGTACATGCGTGGAGAAACACTGTTTTGCATGTGTGCACACGTGTGGGGATGTCAGCGCCACTGTGACCAGAAACTAGAGGTTGGTTTGGCTCAAGTGAACAGCAGGTCTGGGAGGCGACCTCGTCCTCGGATTTGAGTTCTAGGGTGGATAAGCTGGGAATGTGTGTGCCTAGGGTTCTCAGTGTAGGTGTGCGCAGGGCGTGGGTGCCATTGTGTGTGAGACAGAGGGTAGGAGGCAGGTGCTTTGTGGCCCTGGTGTGTGGGAGATGGGGCTTGCACTTAATGTAGGTCCCTGGCCTCCAGAATATAACTTGGGTATGGAATGAGTGTCTGTCCCTGCATGGGTGCGTCTAGCCCCCGTCAATGGCCAAGTTGCTGGTGGTGTCAGGCCCGCAATGGCCACCCCCACAGCGCTAGCGCCCCCTTCTGGGCACCCTACTCTGTGTGCGCTCACGATTCGCCAGTGCAGAATGAGGACCCAGGGCTGGGGAGGAAGAAGGCCCTGAGGAAGGGCTGAGCCGGGACCCCTGGGGCCTTCATGGAGTTGACTGGGGAGCGCGCGGTTCCCAGGCTTGGGCTTCCCGCTGACGCCTCCGGGCTGGAGCCGCCCCCCCACAGGAATGTTCCTCGGCACTACAGCCCGCCTCCCCAAGGGCAGGCCCCTGGGGGACGCCTCAGCCCCGCCTCCCCTCGCCGGGCGCCTAGGAGGGGGCGACGCGGGCAGGACGCCTGGGTTCTCTCCTCACCCTCCCATCCCAGGGAGAAATTCCTCCGAGGTCCCCTCAGGCTCTGGGTTCCCAAAATAACCCTGCGGGGGAAGGGAAGCTGTGGAGGGAGGGAAGCGGGAGGGGCGCACAGCCGAGCTGCGGGGTGCTGCAGGTGCTTCTGGGGAGCAGGCGCGACAAGAGGGCCTGAAGGGGGCTGGGACACCAACCCACCAACCCCAGGAGTCCGGGATGGTCCTCATCCCCGTGGAGCCCTTAGACCCTCCCGCGACTCGGAGGATGGGCCGGAAACCTCTCTGCGGGTCCATTTCCCAACTAGAGGGTTGCACCATCCTGGGCCCTGACCGTTTACCCCGGGGGTGGCCGCGGAAGACTACTCCGCCCCTGCCAGCAGGGGGCGTGCCCGCCCCGCCCAGTCCTGCCCCCTGGCCGCTCCCCTGGTTCGCGCCTCCGCAGACTCCCGCTTTGCCTTTCTCCTGGGACAGATCGGTCTGAGCCCCTTGGGGAAGCTTCCGGAGCGTAGCCTGGGCCCAGCCCACCGGCCCCGGCAGCCATGGCGGGCACCCTGGACCTCGACAAGGGCTGCACAGTGGAGGAGTTGCTCCGCGGCTGCATCGAAGCCTTTGGTGAGTGGCAGGGAAGGCACATCCCGAGCCTAAGCCCGCGCCCCTACTTTCCAGGGCAGACCCTTGGCTGGGACCCACCCACCCTTCCCATCCAGCAGCCTCCTTAATGGAAGCCTGTCTTTATCACAGGGCAGAGAGGTGCCCACGCTTCAACCAGATGAATGTTTCCCTTCTTCAGTCTTCCTGAGCCAGCAGCGAAGGGGGCGAAGGGAGGGCCAGGGTCCCAGACTTTGATACACGCGGGGACATTATCTCTCTCTCCGCGGGATCCGCAGGAACTTGCTATCTCTGGCCTGGAAGCTGTTTCCGGCAGATGCGGGGTGGGGGGGCTGAGCGGTGAAGGGGTGCCCCTTCCCCCTGCACTCAGGAAATGACCTCTGGATTCTTGACCCCCGGGGAACCCAGGCTCTTTCCGCCCCAGCTGGTTCCCCTCCGGACGATGGGCCGGGCCGGCTTGGACGCTCCCTGCGGCTCCCTGGGCACTTTCTTACCCTTCTTTACCCCACCTTTTCTTTTTAATTTGCCTCTTGGTTTCCGAGTCCTGGGAAAGCAGGAGGTTGGCTGGGTCAAGAGTGCAGCCCAAGAGTCCTGATACCAGAGGGCTGCAGGCTAGGGCTTCAGGATCAGAGCTTGAGGACCAAGGGTCAACCCGCTTCTCTTTGACCCTTCCGAGTTAGATGACTCCGGGAAGGTGCGGGACCCGCAGCTGGTACGCATGTTCCTCATGATGCACCCCTGGTACATCCCCTCCTCTCAGCTGGCTGCAAAACTGCTCCACATATATCCTTCGCGGGCCTCGCCCAGGCCCCTGATGTTGGAGTCTGAGCGAACTCCACTGCGCAGCTTCGATGGAGAATGAGCCTCAGCCCTAGAGTGCAGGCTCCTCCTATATGCCAGGATCCAGGCTTGGCCCTTTCTCCCTCTAGGGTCTAGGTTCTGCAGCTTTCCTCCCATCATAACTCTTGCCCTCACCTTCTCAGAGTCTAAGATTGGCTTCTGATCCTCAACTGGGTGGCCTCTTGCCTCTCAGGGCCCAGGCCCCACTCTCAGCCTCTCGAATAAACTGCCCCTCCACCCCTACCTGTGCCCCGACCAGAGCTCATGCCCCACCCTGAGCATCTTCCCAGAACCCAGGCTCTGCCCTCAGCCGCTTTCCAGAGGGGGCATCCCACGCTGCTGGGAGCCCAGGCCCCGCCCCTAGCTCCATGAGTGCTCAGACCGCCCCTGCCTCCCTTCTTAAAGTCAGGCTCCTTACTGTTTTCCTTAACTCCCCTTTACCTACCAACAATCCCGGAAGGACAACTCCAATTCACTGCAGGTGAAAACTTGCCATCTGGTCAGGTGAGTCTTCCTCCAGGGTCCTGGCCCCTTCTCTCTGGCTCCTTTCTCGTGCCCTTGGCTCATGTGGGTTTTAATTTCTGGATCTGTCCAGGTGGGCTCTGCTGCTACAGGCTGCCCGCTTCCTCCACGAGGCCTTTCTCTTCCTTTTTGCTCTGTGCGGGTGGATGTCTCAAGAGGCTCTGTAACCTTGGGGAAGGAAAGAGCTGGGAGAGGGGGAACCCCTCTGTCCCTCTCATTGGAAGACTCCAGTTCCAATGGTGCTGCCCACCTGGGGACGGAGAGCTTGGGAAGCTCGGCCTTGCATGACTCCGCCCCTCTAACCAGGTACTGGATCTCAGCATTCCCAGCAGAGTTCGACTTGAACCCAGAGTTGGCTGAGCAGATCAAGGAGCTGAAGGCTCTGCTAGACCAAGAAGGAAACAGGCGGCACAGCAGCCTCATCGACATCGAGAGCGTGTGCGTGGGGGGACCTCAGGGGGGGACTCAACATCCTACACCATCTGCACTTAATAATAAATGTCTGTTGAATTGAATGAGTGAGGGTCATGTCACTCTCTTGCTTAAAGACCTTCCATGGCTCCCTGTCGCCTTTGAAATGCCTGTCTGGCCACGGAGGCCTTTCACGGCCTCCGGCCAACTTGGTGTTCCTGCCTTATCTCCCACGGCCCACTGCCCATCCCACGCGCCTCATACCTTGGCTACACCGGGTTCATCGCCTGCATCCTTCCCCACCATGGTGCTCCGCTCCTGTCATTGCCCTTGTCTCCTTCTCCGTGCCACCAAGACTTGGCTCAGGTGTGAAGTCTGCAGGCTCTGAGGGCTTGGGCTCTTCCAGGGCAGAGCTTGTTGCTCCCTCCTGTTTCCCATGGCACTCTGGACAGACTCCTGTGCAAAAGCCTCGGTACATGTGTCACGCTGTCCGGTGATCGTGTGTTTCTGTGTCTGTCTCCCTCAGTGGACTGTGAGCTCCTCGAGGGCAGGAACCGTGTCTTGCTCACCTCTGTATCCCAGCGCCTAGTGCAGTGCCTGGCACAGAGTACGTTGTCCATAAATGTGTGTCGAGTGTGTGACGAGGGGGAGATGTGGAAGGACTGGCGGGACGAGGGCCGTTAGTGCCTAGCACAGTGGCTCCCCAGTCAGCCCGAGTGGCGTGTCTGCGTGAATGTGGGGCCACAGGAGAGGGGGTGTCCCCAGCACAGGGCTCACTTCCCCTGCCCCCTCAGCCCCACCTACAAGTGGAAGCGCCAGGTGACCCAGCGGAACCCCGTGGAACAGAAAAAGCGCAAGATGTCCCTGTTGTTCGACCACCTGGAGCCCCTGGAGCTGGCGGAGCACCTCACCTACTTGGAGTATCGCTCCTTCTGCAAGATCCTGGTGTGGCCCCAGGGCTTGTGGTTGGGGTCAAGTGTGGGCTGGGAAGGCGGCTCCAGGAGGGGCAGGGTCTCTGGGGCAGGATGGGTCACAGGGAAGGCCAGGGGGATTCCTCAGAGGAGGGCGAGGCGTGGTCATCTGCAGGGAGAGGGGCCAGCCAGATGCTGAGGCTGCTCCACCTGCCCCCAGTTCCAGGACTACCACAGTTTCGTGACTCATGGCTGCACCGTGGACAACCCCGTCCTAGAGCGATTCATCTCCCTCTTCAACAGTGTCTCGCAGTGGGTGCAGCTTATGGTCCTCAGCAAGCCCACAGCTCCTCAGCGGGCGCTGGTCATCACACATTTCGTCCACGTGGCTGAGGTGCCCACCTCTCCCCTGTCGCCCCGGCCTCCCTGTGGCTAAGCAGGCCAAGTCCATCCTTCACCGCAGCCACCGCCTCCTCCCCACCAAGGCTGCCTCAACTCCTGACTCATTGCCTCCCCTCTCCATTGCCCTCTCAGAAGCTGCTCCAGCTGCAGAACTTCAACACTCTGATGGCGGTGGTTGGGGGCCTGAGCCACAGTTCCATCTCCCGCCTCAAGGAGACCCACAATCACGTTGGCCCTGAAACCATCAAGGTGCCTGGGATGGGGGAGGGCCTGTGCTATGCTCCCCAGTGGTGGGGGCTGAGTGCCACCAACCTCACTTGACAGTTGGGGAAACTGAGTCTTGGAGGGGTTGCATAATGCTGGTGACAGGGGGCACCCACAGGTCAGCCTGACCCCAAAGCTTGTTCTTTCTCCTTTTAAACATAGTGGGTAATATAGACGCAGAAAAGCTCATAGAAAGTGCGAACAGTTTAAATAAAAATTATAAAGAAGACACCTGGGTAACCACCATCCAGGCCAAGGTAGAGAGAGCCTTGCCATGGGTGTAGCTTAGGGGCAGAGACCCTGGCACCTTATTCCCTCACCACCAGAGGCAGCCAACGTTATGACTTTTGTGACAGTGACTTCACTTTTCTTTGTAGCTTTACATCTAATGGGGATTTGGGGTGCCCCTTTTACAATCTCCTATGAGCAAAATCATGTCCTGTGTTATTTTTTGTCTTGCCCTGTCTTTCCACTGCGGGGCGGGGTGGGGGGGGAGAGTCTTTTCATCCTGTCATATGGAACAGTCGTTCATTCATTTTTGTTTTCAGACCATTTGCTATTGTCAGTCCACCCCAATTTATGCATCTGTTCTGTCATGGGACATTTGGGAGTGTGCCAGTTCTTCCTGTTACCGACTGTAGAGATGGCAGCATCCTCCCAGTTCGTTGGCCTGTGCCACCTCACCTCCCTGAGCCTCAGTTTCTTTTTCCGTTAAATGTTGGTGGCATCCTGTGCCCAGTATTGGTGTGCAGGTGTGGTACTCGGCAGCAGATGTTGCTTTGAACTCTCGAGCAGGTGAAGGGGGATGATAAGGGGAATTTAACCTTTTCTCCATCCGGTGTCCTTGACTCATCTTTTTCCACATCTCCAGGGTGATGTGGGGAGGATGGTCCAGTGTGTGGGGGGGTGTGATCTTTTGCCCTTTGTTCCCCAGCTCTGGGAAGGTCTGACGGAACTAGTGACAGCTACAGGCAACTACGGTAACTACCGGCGCCGGCTGGCAGCCTGCGTGGGCTTCCGCTTCCCCATCCTGGGCGTCCACCTCAAGGACCTGGTGGCCCTGCAGCTGGCACTGCCTGACTGGCTGGACTCTGCTCGGACCCGGCTCAATGGGGCCAAGATGAAACAGCTTTTCAGCATCCTGGAGGAGCTGGCCATGGTGACCAGCCTGCGGCCTCCCGTGCAGGCCAACCCTGACTTGCTGAGCTTACTCACGGTGAGGGGCGGCTCTTGGGCCTGACAGCTGTACCTGGTCCTGGCTGTGGGCTTGGCCTTGGGTTCTGGGTTCTGCTCAAGGAACTGAGATCCTCCTGGGCTCTGGATCTTGAACTGAGCTGAGATGGGTTGCACACTATGGTCAGAACTGGGACCTGAGGTCTCGTATTGAGGCAGGCAGGAGGACTATGGACCGGCTTGAGGCTGGGCGTGTGTCCTGGGTCCAGTTTCTGGAGGTGTTCAAAGTCTGGGGTCAAGCTCTGGATTCTGCCAGCAGAGGTAGTTTCTAATATAGTTATTCCTGTCCTCTGAGTGACGTTCTGACCTTGACATTGTACTGGGTCAGGAGATCTAGAATGGGAATCAGGTTCTGGGCTAGAGCTGGCTAGTTCTGGATACAGGACTCCAAACCTTAAGTGTGAAGGTTTGGAGTGAATTCTTAGTTGCTTCTAGATTGGATGGGCATCAGGGTTGAAACCTGAGCTGGATTCTGGATGAATGTCAGAGTCAGGCTGTTCTGAATTGGCCTCTTGACTAGAGTCTTAGCAGTGCATTGAGTACCCGGTTCAGGGCCAGGCTGTGTTCTGATCTCTGTGTAGGCTGGCGTGGGGGTTGCTGGGGTGTATTCTAGGCCATGCTTTGTCCTGAGTCTAACTGGGATCTGAGCTGATGATAGCCTCTAGGTGGCCCTGTGACCCTAGACTGGAGCTCCTGAGAGTAGCAGAGACCAGAGCGTTTGACCAGACCTGTGTACCCTAGGTATCTCTGGATCAGTATCAGACGGAGGATGAGCTGTACCAGCTGTCTCTGCAGCGGGAACCACGCTCCAAGTCCTCGGTGAGGGAGGGGCTGCCTGCTTCCCCACTCTGTCTGTCCCACTGAGAATCCCAGGGTGTGAGGACAAGAAGCCACCTTCTTCTTCTTCTTCTTCTTCTTTTTTTTCATACCAGGGATTGAACCCAGGGATGCTTAACCACTGAGCCACATCCCCAGTCCTTTTTATTTTTGATTTTGAGACAGGGTCTCACTCACTTGCTTAGGGGCTTGCTAAGTTGCTGAGGCTGGCTTTGAATTTGTGATTCTCCTGCCTCAGCCTCCCCAGCCTCTGGGATCCCAGGTGTGCTCCACTGCACCTAGCAGGAGGAGCTCTTTGAAACTACCCTACCAACTTGCTTGCCGGACAGAGGGGTTCTGGGCAGGCCTTAGGCAGGTTCCCCTCTCTTCTAAGGATCCCTCTGTTCCCCTGGGCCTTGGCTCTTCCACCTTTGGCCCTAGTATGGTCCTTTCCATTCCCACAGCCAACTAGCCCTACCAGCTGCACCCCACCTCCCCGGCCCCCAGTGCTAGAGGAGTGGACTTCGGCCGCCAAGCCCAAGCTGGACCAGGCCCTTGTGGTGGAGCACATAGAGAAGATGGTGGAGGTGAGACTCCTGGAGCCCGAGCCGCATGGGAAACAAGTCTGCTTGGACGCTGCAGCTAGTAAAGGGCAGTTTTGCTAGAGCTGCCCTGGGAGCCACCACCAGTGCATGTCCAAGGGCCAGTGCTCTGTCCCCAGGAGGCACAAGGCAGAGCAGGCTAGTGCACGGAGCTGAGGTGCAGACGGGGTGGGTGTGTGGACAAGGGAGGTGCCCTTCATAATACAGGTCTGTGGGAAGAGATGGGCCCTGATATTCCTCTTATTCTCCCCTCTCCTGCCCCTCATGTCGCTCTATGTACCCCCAGTCTGTGTTCCGAAACTTTGATGTCGATGGGGACGGCCACATCTCACAAGAAGAGTTCCAGATCATCCGCGGCAACTTCCCTTATCTCAGCGCCTTTGGGGACCTGGACCAGAACCAGTGAGGAGGACTGGGGGCTGGGGGGGCAGGCAGCCCGGCTCCCTTCCCCTAGGGCCTCAGTTTCCTCTGTAGGGTGAGGCCACTGGACCAGATGACCTTGGCCGGGAAGCTGCCCATGCTGGGAGGGGCTCCTCGATTTTTCGTGGGTGGCAGGAGGTCAGCTTTACCTCACTAACTCAGACAGAGGGGGCTCCACCCAAATCTTGCAAAGACTGAGGCTTGGGGACCATTGCTACATAAATACTATTTTATTTGTGGAGCTTACAGCTGGCAAAAGTGTAGGCAAGTCGAGCTCCTGGGTAGCCAGTTTTAATGAATAGATAAGAAAGGCCTGTAATTAGCAGCACCCACTTGCTTATCCACAATTCATATGCTGACAATTTGGAAAAACATCTGGTTCTCTGAAGTAGGTTAAACATGCCCCCAGCAACCATGTCTATGCCCCATTTTTGCTGAGCAGGCAAACCCCTGAAGAAAATATCCAGACCATCCTAGGTCCATCCTTTATTTTTAAATGTGACCTGTATTTCAAAACTATGTTCTTTTTTTTGTTTGTTTGTTTGTTTGGTACCCGGGATTGAACCCAGCATGCTGTACCACTGAGCTCTATACTCAGCCTTTTTCATTATTTAATTTTGAGATTTGAAATAGGGCCGGGCTAAGTTGCTGAGGCTGGCCTCCAACTTGTGATCCTCCTGCTTCAGCCTCTGGAGTTGCTGGGAGTGTAGGCATATGTCACTGTGCCTGACAGTCTGTCGTTCCATGATTTCCACATGACAATAATCTGAGGTTAAAAAAAAAATAAAATCAGGTAGTAAGAAGTGAACGTCCCCTCCTCCTCCCCACAGGTGAGCAATGTTAATGGCTGGGCAATATGTATGTCCTTCCAGTCTTTCTTCAGGTTGAAATACATGAAGACTTTGTTTGTGTGGTGTGTGTTTATGGACAAATGGGATTATAGCATAAATCCAGTTCTGCCAGTGGCTTTGTTGTGGTCGCTTTGTTTCTTGTTCCAGAGCTGAGGCAGCAGCAGTGAGGCTGGGGTCCTTTAAGACCCTGGAGGCCCAGCTCCAGGCCCAGCTCAGCCTTAACTCTACCTTGTGCCTGCTTCCCGGGCCTAGTGCCCAGCACCCACTGGGTATCAAGCCCCAGCGGCCAGCTCACAAAGAGGGAAAGCCTGGAAGCTGTGGTTGCAGCTCAGAGGTAGGGTATGTGCTTAGCAAGCACAAGACCTTGGGTTCTATTCCCAGGACCCAAAGGAATAGAAAGACCCGCCTCGCCCTCCCAGGACCAGCCCCGGCTCGCTGCTTCCTCCTGGAGCTCTTTGTTTCTGGAACCTGAGGGTTTCCATGTCGTTCTTGCAAAATCACGTATGCGTTTAAACTTTTTGATATAGTTTTAAGAGCATCTAGGTATCTGTAGCAGTGGGCTTCTCTTTCTTTTTTTTTTCAATCACCCTCTTGAAGGAACTGTACCCCCCCCCGATTTTTGTCCTTGGTCTTTGTTCCCACTCCATCATGGACCTCTTTCTGTGTGGATTCATGTAGAACTACCTCATGCTTTAGAGCAGCTGCAGAGTGCTGCCCTGCGTGGCTGGGCTGGCGTTCTCCTACCCATCCTCCTGCTGGTGGCCGTGTAGACCGTTCCAGTGTCTTTCTATAATTATACGCCACACTGCTGTGAACATCTTTGTACCCATGCACTCAGGCCAGTATTTCTGTAGGAGAAATTCCTAGAAGTGGGGATAATTGGATCAAAAGATATGCACATTCTAAATTAGGAGAGAGCCTGCCAAGCTGACCTCGCACAAGGTTGTACCAGTCCACACCCCCATCCGAAGCCTGAGTCCTAACTTCCTTGCCAAGAATGGACGCTGTAATAAGCCTGACAGTCGTGCCAGTCTCGTTGGCAAACGGTGTCTTGGATAAATGTGCATTTCTTTAATGTGATTGGGGCTAGCGTCTTTATTTATATGTTTATGGGCCACGTATATTTCTTTTGTTAACTGCCTGTTCATAT